AACGTAATTGCGCCAAAACTACCCTGGTTTGTCTAGGCAGCTGACGTTCTTCGGCTGCAATGGATGGGGGGTGGACTCCGAGGACGGCATTCACTTTGTAACTGCTAATAGCATCCGCGACTGCATCGGTGTGAATGCCACTCAGACCTGCCTGATAGGCTTCTTGATCTAGAGGCTCTCTCTTGTAGCGCTGGACCTCCCTCTCTAGATCATGTATGTCCTTCCTGACACGCCTGGGTGGGGGAGAGTTATCCACCATGTGATGGTTGGGATGGCTCTCACGGTAACACCCAAGCAGGTACTGCAACGAAAGCATATGATTATGCTGACGTAAGGGAAGGACTTTCGCCTCCTCATGTAGATGGTCCACTGGTGTCATGAGGAGGCACCCTGTCGCAGTTCTCAGGGCAGCGTTCTGGCAGGTCTGGATATTCTTCCACTGCGTAGCACTAGTATTCGCAGACCACACTGGAGCCGCATAGTTGACCACAGACCGACCTATCGCGTTATAAGAGGTTAACAAGGTTTCTTTGTCCGCACCCCAAGAGCTGCCGGCTAGCGCCTTGAGGACCTTGTTCCTACTTTTCATCTTGTCGCAGATAGCTGTGGCTTGCGCGGACGACTTGAACATGCTGTCGAACGTTACCCCAAGAATCTTGGGGTAGTTCGTGGTCGGTATTAAATTCCCCTCGACCTGAACATTCAGCTGTGTTCTCATCTCCGCAGACCATGTGGTAAAGAGTGTGGCCGTTGATTTCGTGGCGGATATTTTCATATTCCTCGCGTGGAAGTATGCGGCAAGCTCCGCGAGATAGGGGTTCAACCTTTCGCATATGTCATCGACCACTGGACCCGACGCCATGATCGTACAATCATCCGCATACGTTACGATCTCAATGCCGTCTGGAGGGCGAGGAATTCCGGAAAGGTAGAGGTTAAACAGTTCCGGAGATATCACCCCACCTTGGGGAACTCCCTGTTTCACTCTACGGGCTTTGGACTTCTTGTTCCGGAATTCCACGTACGACTGGCGTCCACACATATAGTTGATTATCCAACGTTTCAAACTTGGCCGGAGGGTAGTTCTCTGTACGTCCTCAAACAGTGTGGCATGATTGACCGTATCAAATGCCTTTGATAGGTCAAGGGCTACCAACACTGTTCTGTCACACGGCCTGTTCTGGTTTAGTCCTCTACTAATATGTGTGGAAATGGCGTGTAATGCTGTTGTGGTACTATGTTGTGGACGGAATCCATGCTGGTGGTTGGCAACTGCATAGCTTCCTCTAATGCTGGGGAGGAGTAAAGCCTCAAGAGTCTTTGCTACTGGCGACAAAAGCGAAATCGGCCTGTACGATTCGCCTTTACTGGCATCCTTGCCTGGCTTCAGTAGCGGGAACACCCGGCCCATTTTCCAGGTTTCGGGCACTATGTGGGTGGCTAGCGACAAATTGAGAACTTTTGTTAAGTACTCGACTCCCGGCGTATCCAGCTGCTTCAACATTACCATTGAGATTCCGTCCGGGCCCAACGCTTTGGATGACTTAGCGTTACGGATGACATTTGCAACATCACCCATCGTAAACTGTGGTGGTTCCTCCTCGGCGGGAAGAGATCTGATACGACGTAGTACTCTTCGCTTCGCCCTATCACTCTCGGGGTGCTCGACAAATTGTCGGTTAAAATATTCCGCGCACCTCTTCGGATCAGTCACCGTTACGTCGTTAAAAGTGACTGAGGTCCTATCATCCTTTTTTCCAGGGTTCGAGAGCGACTTAACCGTTACCCACAGCTTACTCATATCGGTTCCAATGTTGCAGCACTTCAGATGGTCTAGCCACTTTTTCCTCTTATGCTCCTGTACCAACCGGTTGACTTCCACTGTCAAATCACTGATTCTAGGATCAGTAGGGTTGGTACGACGGAGATCATCACGCTCGTTTGCTAATCCCGCTGCCTCTGCTGGGAAGTTTGGTCTTATCTCGGGTATTCGACCAGCAGGTATATAGCGAGCGGCTGCAGCTCTGATGATGTTTCAGAAAATCCTTTCTGCTACCCGAACATCAGAAGGGTTGGGCAGTTCTCTGAAGCGGCGGTTGGTGAATTCTCTGAACTCTGGCCAGTGAGCTTTCCCATGGTTAAGGAAAGTGAGGCGTTCAGAGGTTATGAAATCGGGCGACCTGCTTATGGAGACGATTATCGGGAGATGGTCTGAGCCAAGAGAAATGACGGGTTGCCAAGTCACGTCATTTATCAGACCGGGTGACACTATGGTTAAATCTGGCGAACTGTGACACTCTCCTCTTATTCGGGTGGGGGCATCCTCGTTAACCGTGCAGAATGTGGAGCAGTCAATCTGCTCTGCCAGCGCTGATCCCCTCTGGTCATTACCTAGGACGGAATGCCACAACTCATGGTGGGCATTAAAATCCCCTAGTACCAGGCGGTTATTGCCTACCAATAATGGGCTAATATCAGGCAAATAACGTGGTTCACAGCTATTAATCGGCGGGATATACACATTAAGCACCTCTACCTCGGCAGTTCCACACTTGACTGCTACCCCCATACATTCCATGTATGGGTCACTAGAGACTAGCTCAAGCGAGATAGGTCTGTACTGAACAGAATGGTGTAACAGGAACGCTAATCCCCCACCTCCACTTCTGGTGCGATCCTTCCTTAGTACGTTGTAACCATAACAACGTTGTAGGCTGCAATTTTCATTCAGCTTGGTTTCCTGCACCGCTGCGATCTTAATATTCCTCCGACTCATAAATTCCACTATCTCATCTATTTTGCCTCGAAGTCCGTTGCAATTGAATTGCAAGAATGATGCACAATCCGGAGTTGGAACAGCAACATGTGGCGTTAGGTGCTGCGGTGTTGGTTGCTGTTCTGGAGACTGCGGTGGAGTGCCATACTCCGACGACGTCTCTGACGAGAACGACGAAGAAGAGGACTCGCTGGGGACTACGTTACTGCAGCAAGTCGCAACATAGTCCCTTTCGCTGTAGTCTCGCAAACGCCTTAATCCGGAACAGTTCTTGAAGTGCACCCACTCTCTGCATCCATTACATCGCACCGAGACAGATCTGTGGTGGATGACATTCTGACAAACCGAGCAGAACCAAGGTCCGGGGTTTTCCTCAATCCCGGCACGGACCAATAAAATCCGGAGCAAGCATTCCGGGATATGCTGCTCCCAATGCAGAAAAATAAACAAACACATGTACATGTACAACATTATCAGTCGATTTTGCCGGTAGATGTATACCCTCAGTCAATGTTCGATAATTTAAATATGTTTTTACTTCTTTTATTATTATTTAAAATGTTGACCCTCAATTGAGTGGGTTCAGAAGGAATGGGCCAATATTGTCCATTTCTCAACGGACCTAAATAAATATGATGTAAATATTGCGACGTGCCAGGTTTGGACTATATTGGTTACTTTCTTCACTCATCTCAGGTTTCTGGCTGTGAACTATTTTAATGTGTGAAATTGGAAGAGAGTTGGGCGCCTATTTTGCTTTCTTTAAGCATTTTCTTTAGGGTTAAAATTTTGAACCCTATGTGGTCCGATCTCTGCCATCTTTATAAAAGGTCTTGTGTTGATGGAAATATTGTGAGGTAAAAATTCTGAATGGAATCTGATGTTAATTTTAGGTTTTGTGAGCTTCATTCATCGGATGTTATTTTTAGGTTTTGTGAGCTTCATGGATATTCAAAATTTTGACCCTTTGTGGGGGAGGTACCAGAAGGAGTGGACCGATATATCTCATCTTCGCAGCAGATCTTGTGTTAGTAGAAATAATGGAATGTGTGAAATATGAATAGAGCTGGATGCTCATTTCGGATTTTATAATCGTTTTGGCTATTCAAAACTTTGGCCCTTTGTGGGGGAGGTACCAGAAGGAATGGTCCGATCTCTATCATCTTCATAACAGATGTTGTGTTGATAGAAATATTAAGATGTACTAAGTCTGAATGGAATCAGATGTAAATTATGAGCCTCATAGACATTTAAAATGTTGGCCCTCTGTGAGGGAAGGTACCAGAAGGATAGGACCGATATATCACATATTCACACCAGACCTTGAGGTAGTGAAAAATAAGAATTCTGAGATATGAAGAGAAACGAATGCTTATTTCGGATCTTACAATCGTTTTGGTTGTTGACCTTTGTAAGGAGGTACCAAAAGAAATGGTCCGATCTCTGCCAACTTTATAACCGATCTTGTGTTGATGGAAATATTATGAGTCTCATGGATATTCAAAATTTTGACCCCTTGTGGGGGAGGTACCAGAAGCAGTGGACCGATAAGATCTATTTTTACACCACCCCTTGGGTTAATAAAAATATTGTGACGTGATTTATTTGAAGTCAATCGGACTCTTACATCACATTTTATAAGTGTTATAATAATTCAAAATTTTGACCCTTTGTGGGTGAGGTACTTGATGGAGTGCACCGATATTGTCCATTTTCGCACCTGACCTAGCACTGAAGGAAATATTAGGATTTGCAAAGTTGGAGCAAAATCGGATTGTCCTTTCTCTTTCTGTGCAGTAAAATATTTTTGTGAAAATTTCGTCCTATTGTTGGGGAGGTCCCAGAAGGAGTGGACCGATATTGCCCATCTCCGAACTCGATCTAAATTTGTTAATAATATTACGATGTACCACGTTTGGATCAAATCGGATATTCCCTTCGAGAGTTATCGTGCCCATCAGGCGGACAGACAGATATACAGACGGTCGGAAGGGGGATATCGCTAGATCGACTCCAAATATCCTGAAACGGATTTTGTCCAAAGGCACCTTTTGTCCGTATCGAATGATATTCTAGACCTCTCTGGCTGAGTGTATAATAATTTGAATCGCAGATAGATAAAAGGTTTGTTGCCTAAGTCTTTTGTTTTGTAGGAAAATATAAGAATTGAAATAGAATCTCCAATATAGCAAGTATTTGAGTTTATATCAAACAGTCTACTTACTTATCTCACATGTCGGCCCTGTCCAGCCCAAGGCACAGGCACATGTAAATTCCGATGCTGGCGTCAATTGTGGCAGGCTATTGGAAACCAATGTTGAAGAGTTGCCAGCCAACACAGGCATATTGCGCCGGTTCACCGGTTTTCCCATGGCCGAACTCATGCCGCGCATCACACGAAATGATGGCAAGGAGGAGCTGTTGCGAGCCGGAGATTCCTAAGAAGAAAGAATAATAATAAAAATTTATTAATTAAATGGATGGCATTGTCTAAGAGTTATCCAAATATCCTTAAAGGAATTTGGTCCTTACTACATATTTTAAAATTATTAAAAAAAGTCCTACATCAACTCACCTTAACTGTACACGACCCACCATTCTTGCACGGCTGGGTGGCACATGGATGTTCAATGATTTCACAACGTTCGCCCGACAAGCCCTCGGCGCATGTGCAGCGAAAACGATCAGGTGCTGTATTCTCACAAGTACCGCCATGCTTGCAGGGTTCATGGGTGCCGCAATAATTTAAATCTATGATGATGACCATGAAACGAAACGAGAAAAAAAGGAAAAGCAAAAAAAACAGGAAGAGAATATAAATTATTTAAAATGCCACAAAACATTCACAGCGATCTGGAAATCAAAGCAAAAACAGAACAGAAACCAAACGGGAGAATATTTCTTGGCCATGACAAAAAAAAACAAAAAAATAAAATATTGCCTGTGAAGAAAAACATTTTACAGTTCTCTTTCCAGTTTTTATTTCTTTTCTAGTCCATAATCTTAATGTGGATTTGATTACATGGAGGTAGATATATTTTATACCCCCTTTTGGTCTCTTTTTTTTAAGATTGTTGCCAAGGTTCATTGCCTTCCTTACCTTGATCACACAAGATACCGCCCCAATTAGTATCACATTTACATTTCCAGGCCTCACCATAACATGAGCCATGTTTGCACCCGGGATACACAACACATTCATTGCAAAGGGGTCCCTGCCAGCCAGGACGACAACTGAAAGAGAGAAATTTTTGGTAGATGATGAAATCAAGATTTTTAACAAAAAATCATAAATAAAATGAAAAAATAAATAAATATGGATTTAAATATTTCCTTGTAGAAAATTTACTAAAAACAGGTAAAAAAAAAACATTAAGTTCGGCCGGGCCAAACTTCTAATACCCTCCACCTTAGGGTAAAGGAGACATTAGAACCCATTGTGTCCCGCAAATACCAATTTTTAGACATATTCGTTGGAGAATGTCGCAATCTCATCAAAATATTGAATATCCGGAGGTACCGCTACATGGGGCTATACAAAAATGTGAACCTAGCTAGAACCCATTAGGAACAACAAATCCGAATATCGGAAGATACCGTCATATGGAGGCTATACCAAAACGTAGACCTATACATACAATATTTCGCTGCACGAACTAGGACCTATTATGACCTACAAATACCAATTTTCAGAGAAATCCGCGAAGAAATGTGGCAAAAATCATCAAAATACCGAATATCGGAAGATATCGTTATATGGAGGCTATACCAAAGCTTGGACCTATACATACAATTTTTCGCCACACGAACTAGGACCCATTATGATCTACAAATACCAATTTTTAGACAAATCCGCGAAGAAATGTGGCAAAAATCATCAAAATACCGAATATCGGGAGGTACCGTTATATGGAAGCTATACCAAAGCTTGGACCTATACATACAATTTTTCTCTACAAGAACTAGAATCCACTATGACCCACAAATACCAATTTTCAGACAAATCCGCGAAGAAATGTGGCAAAAATCATCAAAATACCGAATATCGGAAGGGAAGCGTTATATGGAGGCTATACCAAAGCTTAGACCTATACATACAATTTTTCGCCACACGAACTTGGACCCATTATGACCTACAACTAACAATTTTTAGATAAATCGGCGAAGAAATGTGGCAAAAATCATCAAAATACCGAATTTCGGGAGGTACCGTTATATGGAGGCTATACCAAATCGTAGACCTATAAATGCAATTTTTCGCCACACAAACTAGGACCCATTATGACCTACAAATACCAAATTTTAGAAAAATCCATGAAAAACTGGGCCGAAAATCATCTAAATACTGAATATCGGGAGGTACCGTTATATGGGGGCTATACTGAAGCGTGGGCCTATACATGCAATGTTTTGCCACCGAAGCTAGAACCCATTAGGACCAACAAATACCAATTTTTAGACAAATCCGAGAAGAAATGTGGCAAAAATCATCAAAATATCGAATATCGGAAGATACCGTTATATGGAGGCTATATCAAAGGTTGGACCTACATATACAATTTTTTGCCACACGAACTAGGACCCATTATAACCTACAAATACCTATTTTCAGACAAATCCATGAAAAAATGTGGCAATAATCATCAAAATACGGAATATCTGAAGGTACCGTTATATGGGAGCTATACCAAAGCTTAGACCTATACCTACAATTTTTCGCCACTAGAACTAGGACCCATTATTACCCACAATAACCAATTTTTAGGCAAATCCGTGCGAAAAATTGGCAAAAATAATCAAAATACCGAATATCGGAAGGTACCGTTATATGGGGATTATACCAAAACGTGGACCGATACATCTCATTTTCAATACCAACCATCCTAGACACAATACAAATTATTCTGCTAAATTGTGATGCTCTACGTCAAATAATGTGGGCTGTATCGTGATTTCAGCAGACAGACGGACATCGTTAAATCGACTTAGAATTTTATGCTGATTATGAATATATATACTTTATGGGGTTTACGACGAATTTTTAGAGATTTTACAAACCCTCCAAGGTGGAGGGTATAAAAATGAAAATTTTTTTATATAACTTTCTATAAATCCGTAATATTTGGTTGAGGTATATTTTCCCATGTTCACACCACAGCTTATCATTTTTTCTTGTTTCCATAAAACCACCTTCCTTCCTTCCTTCCACACCTCCTCCAGTCCCCTCTCCCACCTCGCAAAATAAAATATGCAAAAAAAACGCCCCAGACGAATCAATGTTTACAAATCATTTCGAATTTCGTGAGAATTGAACTTTAAGGCGACATGGTTGTTGTTGTATTGGATTTTAATGAAATTAAACTGTGTCACTTTATTTTCTTACAATTTACAATATTTCAACGCCATCGCTGACAATAGTAACACAAAACGTAACAAAGCTCACAGGAAAAAAAAAGCAAACTCCGAAACGAAAACCAAAAGCCATGGAACAACTCGAATTCATCATGTCATCCAAACGATGTTGCAATGGCTTTTAAATGAACCACCAACAACAGATCGTTTAAGACAGATACAATACAAATTCGAACGAAATGAAACGGAACGGAAAAAAAGACGTCACCAGTTAACCAAACAACAAACGGCCAATACTATTTTCAATTAAGCTTTTCAACACGCTCAAGTAATGTTTCTTTATTTTTTCCGTTGAGACTTTGTTCTTCATCTGCTCCTTGAAAAAAAAAACCGAGAGAGACAAGGAATCCATTCTGTGGCATGAACAAACCCATGATTTGTTTGTACTTCAAGAAGATTTTTTTTGTTTTCTCAACTTTTTGTTGAACTGAAGAATGCTATGCAAATTTCGTTAAAAACGCCCAGGTTTTCCTTTGTGCACAGAAAACGTAATGTATACTTTTGCATCCTTTTGAAGTTGTTCCAAAATCACAAAAGGACGCGCAGGCATAAAAATGAAACATGTTGCATGTTGTCTGTTGCTGGTCTCGTTCGTTCGTTCTTTTGTTCTGCAGTTTTTTTGTTCTTCTACAGTGCTGACTATAGTTCACTTTAAGTAATTTGATTAAATGTTTTTTGGGAACAAAAAACGAAAGCACTCATCACGAATGTGTAGATTTAGGTTTTGTAGGTTTTTTTTTTTTTTTTTTTTGTTAAGGGAAGTACACTTGGAAAAAGCTGAGAGGGATTTGTAGATCACTGTGACGAAGACTGCAAAATTTTCTCTTAGAAATTCTCACACCACAATATTTTCTCAACAAAACTCTTGCACCAAAATATTTTCTTAAAGGAACTCTCGCGAGGAAATAGTATTTTCACAAAACAAATATCCGCAACATGTTATCTGAGAAAATGTTGTATGGCCAAAAATGTTTCTGTAAACCTAATGTATCCGCAACATGTTCTGCGCGAAGTTTCTACATACACAATATTTTCTTGGCCAGACTTTTGTATCTGCAACATTTGCCATGCAACGTCGATATATATATATATATATACTTTATACGGAAAAATTTGCCTTCGAAAAATTCTTCGATCTTTGCAAATGTTCTTCTTGAAACAAATGTTCACTGCAAATTTTCCAGATCAGCAGCAATTTTTTGTGAACAGCAACATTTTCTCTACAAAACTTTTGTTCCTGCAACACTTTGTCAAAGAAAATTTTGAATCAGCAACATTTTCTCCATTAAAATATTACATTTACAAAATTTTCCAGCAAAACTGTCGTATACACAACAAGATGTTGTCAATTTACGTAAAATTCCCAAAAGTAATATTTTTAATTATTTCTGCAAACCTAATTTACCTGCAACCCTTTCTCTGTGAATTTTATGCATCCGCAACATTTTCTTTGCCTAATGTTTTGTATCTGCAACATTTTGCCTACAAAGCTGATGCATCTGTAATATTTGTTATCAAATATTTTGTATCCGCACATAATGTATCTGTAATTTTTTTCTAATTTTGAATTTTTTGAATCTGCAACATTTACATTTGTGTATCCGCCAAACTTTATAAAATAAACTGTTGAATCAACAATATTCTCTAAACAAAATGGTGTATCCGTAATATTGATAATTTCATCCCGGCGAAGAGAATGGTCTCCATACAACTGAATGTTGTCCATTTGGGTAAAATTTAACAAATATTATGTTAGAAGCCCCTTATGTCCATTTTGGAAGATTTCGCTTTTGAAATTATATTACGGAGCACTGCCCAGATATTAAAATTGGCATTTTGACCAGAGACATTTGCCCAATATTTACGCACTTTGTCGTGCTGTTACTTGTTGTGGTTCATTTTACAGCTAAATACAATCCAATGGTTATCCAAGATGCTAGATGTCTTCCCTGTCCTTAAGTCTCTTCTCAGGCGTGTCGATTGGCCTTAACTGTGTGAAAAGGATTTTTTTTCTGAGGAAGATTTTCCTGGAATGTTTCTAGAGAAAATAATGATTTTTGTTTGTCAAAATCTCTTAAAAGTTAGTGCTGAGTAAATAATAAAGACAAACTAATTGTTGAATCTGCAATATATTCTAACTGAAAATGTTGCTTCCGAAAAAGGGGAAAATTTTGCTTGCTCTTAAAAAAAAGCAAAATTATATACGCATGTTGTTTCCACAATATGTTCTCTATAAAAATTGTCTTGTTCCGCAACATGTTCTTCATGAAAATGTTGCCTTCGCAAAATATATTCTTTTAAAATATTGAATCCCCAACTTGCATTTTAACCGGTTATTGTTATTTTTTTTACAATTTTCTACTCTCGCACAAAAAAGGCTTTCACCCTTTCAAAACAACGTAATAAGTAATTCCTTCTAGAAAAAAGTACGAATAAAAAATTATTATTGTGTCCGCAACAAGTCCTCTATAAAATGTACCATCCTTAATATGTTTCCTGTGATAATATGTCATCCGCAACATGTTCTCCATGAAAATGTTGCATTAGAAATAAATCATTAAGATATCAACATGTGTCTTGGCAAGATATTCTTTTCTTCTTCTCTTTCAAAAAAGCAAAAATAAATTTTACTCTCTCTCTCTCTCTCTCAAAAAAAAAAAAATTATTGTGAGGTGGAAAAGTAAAAAAAAGCATACATACTGTTACATCTAAACAAGAACTCTAAAAATCTTCGTCAACATGTTTCCTATGAAATATATCATTCGTAACATCTCGTGTATGGGACATAAGGAAAATGTGGTTCTGGCAACATGTCATCTATG